GGGAGGGGAAAAAATGAGGAGCTGATACCAAGGGCTCGAGTAAAAAGAAAATGCTTTGAGAGTGATGATGGCAACAAATGTACAAATGTGCTGGACACAGTGGATGTATGTATGCATGGTGATAAGAGTTGTACAAGCTCCCAATGAAATTTTTAAAAATAAAATAAAAGGAAAGCCTGCCTTAAGCATTATGCTTTTTTAAGAACTCTCTACATGGGATCATGTTGACAACAGTAATAAGGGCAATGAGTTTAATTAAGGAGGGAGGGACAACTTAAAAAAGAAAAGTGAGAAGAGTTGAACAAGTCAAAGAGTTTAATCAATGTCCTATAAATTATATATGTATGTACCAAAAAATTAACAAAGAAAAATATGTAATTATATATGTATGTACCAAAAAAGTAAGAAAGAAAAAAATATGCAAGGCCTTGGAAACACGACAGGGCAGTTCTACTCTGTTCTACAGCATCACCGTGAGTCAGCATCAACTCAATGGCCATGAATATGGAATGTTGTTATTCATTCGGGTCAATGAATACTCAGTCGACAGCTGAAGACCTGCTGTACATCAGATCCCAGGATTCAGAAGTGACCTCCTTACGATAGACAAAAAATGACACTGAAGGAGTCTTCTCCTAAACCATATTCAATCTAACTCATCTAATGGCTATTCTGATCACTAAATTGGTTAATAAATAAAAATTTCCAGATGAGTTGATGAAACCTTTGCCTTCCGACTATACGATAAGTTAGGCGCATCAAGAGATATATTGTGAGTGGAATGAGCTAAATAATGATAGTAGAAGTAGATGAACCAGGACTGTTAGTTGAAAAAGTTTATCATGGTTGAGATCATGGTGTAGTAGAATAAAATCTAAAATTAGCTAGACTTGTATTGGATATTAGATTTACCACTAAATGGTCATATAATGAGGGCAAACAGCCTAACTTCTCTGAGCCAGTTTACTCACCTGTATTGTCCTGATACAGTGACACTTGTGAACATCAGAACTCAGTAAGACTGCCTTGTTTCACTGGGTCTTACACTGTTTCATCACCATGTGTAGAACATTGACTTTTTCTTTATTGAAAGGTTTCTGCCTTAGTCAGGTCCCAATTTGCGTAGACTTTACTGTAATAGCAATTTATTCACTTATTTAACAAACATATTGGATCAAAAGGCAATTTGTGAACAGAATGTGTACATTGATCAAGAGGTGGCTGTGTGAACAGAACAAGATAATACTGCATGATTTAAAATCAAGAAAGGTGAGCGTCAGGGTTGTATCTTCTCATCACACTTATTCAGTCTGTATGCTGACCAAATCATCAGAGAAACTGGATAATATGAAGAAGAACGCAGCATTGGAGGAAGATTTTTTAACAGCTTGTGATATGCAGATGATATAACCTTATTTGCTAAAAGTTGGGAGGACTTGAGCACTTGCTAATGAAGCTCAAGGATTGTAACCTTCAGTATGGATTACAACGCTATGTAAAGAAGACCAAAATCTCACAACTGAACTCATAGACAACACGATGACAAACAGAGAAAAGATTAAAGTTGTCAAGGAGTTTGTCTTGCTTGGATCCACAGCCAATGCTAATGGTAGCAGCTGCCAAGAGAGCAAATAACCCATTACTTTGGGATAATCTGCTGTACAAGATCTCTTTAAAGTGCTGAAAACCAAGGATGTTACTTTGAGTCTGAAGGTGTGCCTGACCCTAGCCAGTGTGTTTTCAATCACCTCATATGCATATGAAGTTGGACATTGAATAAGGAAGACCAATGAAGAATCAATGCATTTAAATTTTAGTGTTGGCAAAGAATATTGACAGTACTTTGGGCTGCCAAAAGAATAAAACCTTGCCAGGATGCTCCTGAGAGGCAAGGATGGCAAAACTTTGTCTCGTGTGCTTCGGACTTGTTGTCAGGAGAGACAGTCCCTCGAGATGGACATCATGCCTGGTAAAGTATATGGGCGGCGAGAAAGGGGAAGGTCCTTGACCAGATGGACTGATACAGTGGCTGCCACAATGGACTGAAACCCAGAACAATTGTGAGGATGCTGCAGACCCTGGCAGTGTTTTGTTTTGTTGTACAGAGGGTCATTTTCAGTCAGAACTGACTCCATGGCACCTAACAACAATAATCCATTGCATGTCTGGTATTTGCTAGCTTAACCCACCCTACAGAAATATAGTTATGAATAGATTTAATATTATATCTAAAAATTCAGGAAAACTATAGATGTTCAAGAAATTTAGTCCACACTTGACTTCACCCATTTTCTTTTCCACAATGCCCCAAGGTGACCAGGCCCTGGAAAAAAACTTGTTGGTATCTTCCAGTTTTATTGAAAAGAAAGGAATGGGACTCACACATGATTACTTGTATCTGTAATGTCCAATAAATCATTCCACTAGGAAACATACTTTTCTAGAAAGAAAGCCTACTTGAAATTTTATCTTAGGTGTGGTACAGGCTAAGCTTCTGGTATCAAGAAATTCTGCATCCTCTGATCCTGGGGGATGGAGCAAAATAGGAATGAAAAAACCTGAGATACATATGGCCAAGTTTACATTGGCGACCATTAAAGGATAGATTTGAAGGGGAAAAGGAGACCATGCAGAAGGCTCTTACAATATTCTGGACAAGAAATGACAAGGGAAAGGTGGCAGAGATGTTTCTAAGGATATTTTGAATTTTTTAATTAAAGGATTTAGAAACATGTATCCAGCTGGGTAGGCTAACCTTCTGTTGCAAATGGAATTTTAATAATTAAAATCAAAAGTTTAGGAATCTGCATACATTATGGGAGGCTGGCGTGCTATTATAAAGAGATCCAAAAATGTTAAAAGGCTCATATGTACTAGAAGTGTTACTTGCCTACGTGATCATCCAAGGTAGGAATTTCTTACTGGCAGATGGCATCCTTCCAGGTAGCTACTTGGGAAGCCAGGCTTCTTCCACCTGAAATCACTTTTCATGTGTCATTTTAAAAACCATATTTTGTTTACTGGTGTGTATATATATATATAGCAATGTAAATGATAATATCCTGGAGTTTATAATAACTCTAAAATGAAATATATGCAGTAAAAATGAATATATAAAATAAAAGATTATGAAAATACCTATGGGGTATCTGTGATAGAAGAAATATCATCTAATATTTTAGTATTAATCATATAGGAGTTTCAGAGATTAAAGTACTGCTACTCAAGTTTCAAAAGAGCCCTGGTGGCATAGTAGGTACACATTGGACTGCTAACTGTAAGGTTAGCAGTTCAAGACCACCAGTTGCTCTTTGAGAGAACTGTGAGGCTTCTTAGTCCTATAACGAGTCACAGTCTCCGAAACATACTGGGGCATGTATACTCTACCCTATAGAGTCTCTGTGAGTCAGAAGTGACTCAATTGCAGTGTGATAGATACTTTAAGATACTTTGGCCCTATGGGTTTGATGTTGGACTTCTGTGGTAGGTAGGTTTATTGTGCCAACCTGGCCAATAGGAACATATGGAATTAATCAGGTTGAAGTTCAATTGGAGGGAAAAGAGATAAATGGCTCTGCGAGGCCCACCCCCACTCTCTTGCTTTTTGGAGATCAAGCATGCTAGAGTATGCGTGCTGCTGCTGTAAGCTAGTCCTCTGCCTCAACCTGTGAACTACACTCCCTGTGGACCAGGCCAATACATAGATCACATCGTTAGAGCGTGGGGCTCCTTCGAGATGAGCCTGAAGGATCCTGTCCCCTTGCATTGCTTGCATTCAGTGTGCCATCCCGGCCTGTTTCGCTAAGCTCCAGAGCTACTGATTGTTGGTGACCCCATGCTGCTTGCTGCCTGTGGGCAAACTCTGCTTGCCTTGTCCCAGGGAGGACTCTGCTGTCTGCTTCCTTGACTTTGGACTTGGCAGCCCATGTGAATTAAAGAACTTCCAGTATATCAACTGTTCCATGGAAGTGAGTTGAACTGAACCCTCTGTACAGCCGTGTGGACTAATTAGATGTTATATTTCTTCTTGCTCTATAAACCTATCCTCTTATAAATATATAAAATCTTAAGTGCCCTGGTTTCATTTCTCTAGAGAACCCTGTCTAGCACAGCTTCTAAATACAAGATCAATAGTTTTAAACCACCAGATGCTCCTTGGGAGAAAGATGAGACTTCATGCTCCCATAAAGAGTTAAAGCCTTCAAGTCAATGCTGACTCAAAACAACCCTGTAGGGCAAGGTAAATCTACCCCTGTGAGTTTCTGAACCTGCATATCTCCACAGGAGTCAAGAGTAGTGGAATGATGCCCAGAGGGATGATGGAGAATGCTCTCTAACAAAATGACAATGGTGTCTCTAAGGTGGCCCTGAGACGTATATAAACCACAGATGCATGAATGTATTTTTGGTTTGCACTTACTTCTAGCCCCAATCTAAGAACAATTACTTCTTGTGATATGGCCCTGCTTGATGCTCAATCTAATGAGCAGATCACTGAAGATATGAGTGCTATAGCGAAGTATGGTGAAGAAACTAGATGGTGCCCTGCTATAAGAAAGAATAGCATCTGAGATCTTAAAGGATTGTTTTCAAATAAACAGCCATCTAAATGAGGCATCAGCTAAGTCCATTTGGAAGAAGCACACCAGCTTGTATGATCTAAGGATTGTAAAGAATATAATCCAAACATAAGGAGGGAGTGGCATTGGAGCTTCAATCAGAGCTACAAAACACCTACTTTGCAGAAGGCTATGACAGTGAATGCCCAAAATTCATTTGCAGAATTTATTCACACAGGTATTAAGATTCTGGGTGAATCCCCTCTGATCACCTGAGGGATGTGAATGGCCCTGTTATGAGATAGAGAACATTGCAGCGTATTATGGCAGACACGGTTAGGTCAAAATGTAATATCTTATAATTTGATCTCCCTTTTACCCTCTGTTGAATCCCTTCTGCCCATGGAACAGGGATGTGAATAGCTTTGCTGCTAACATGCAGGCTACATTAAAAAGTGGATTGTTGCAGATGCAGTTAGGTGAAAATTTAGCACCCTATCATTTGATCTTACTTATGGTCCATTTAAAAATTTGTTCTAGTTTTTAATATATTTGACTTTCTTTTTGATTATCTCTTTTACTTTTTATTTTTTGTTAGTTGTTTTATTTTTTATGTTTTTCTGTATATGAAAAACAAAGTAGATAAATCTATAAATACAGTAACTGCATGAATGTTTCCTTGGGGGTATGGCAGGGGATGTTGGGGGGAAATGAATGCAAGAATGAAGAAAGTGTTCTAAAACTGACTGATGATGATTGTACAACTCTTCTTAATGTGACTGAAGTACTGAATTGTATGATGGATGAATTATATGCCCATATAAGTGCCAATAATAGTGTTGAAAATAATGATTTATAGTTTTGGAAATCCTGTATAGGGTCACTGAGAGTCACAATCACTTGGGTAGTAACTGGTTAAATAAAAGACACTGTTTTCCACTCAATTCTGACTGATAGTGACCCTCTAAGACAAGGTAGGACTGTCCCCAGATCTCCAAGGCTATACAGCTCGACTGAAATCAACTCTCCTGAGGAGGGCCTCATGACTTTGAACCACAGACTTTTCAGTGAGCAGTTGAGCACATGACCATCACACGGCCAGCTCTACCCGCTCTGGGATAGATACTTTCAGTTATATATCTGAAGTACATTTAGAAAAGAGTTTTTAATATTTAACTCTATTGTTATGGTTAGGATAATTATTTAGACGTGCCCATATATGTTAGCAGAATTCCACAGGAAAATTGTTTCCCAATGGGGAAACGTTTTTCAGTGGTGAGCAGTTCATATTGCATCTTCCCTGGACCGGGCATCCTCCTTTGAAGAGGGGACCACTCTCCTCTTTGTTGCTCTCGTGCCACAGATGAACATGCAATTTATATTCAAAATTAGAACAGTATTTGCCAAGAGCAGATGAAAAATGTGAGGTGCCAAACACTACAGGTATACATTTTAGTTTGCCCAAACTTCCAGAATGTATCAGAAAATTGTATTTTAGAGAGCACCTATTATCCATGGAATGAGAACTTGAAGCAGACACATTTAACCTAGTACATTAATAATCCTCTCATCCATATGCTGAACTCAACTTCTCAGAGAAAAAAAAGAAGCCCCACACAGCCTATTCCTGTATTTCACACCTCTACAAATAACATGTTCTAGAAGCCGCCTGCCTTCTCCGAGAAGATGTATTCATGTCAAGCTGGGATGGGTATGGCACTTCTAGACACAACCTTTGTGACTCCCGCCAAAGAACTGGGCAGGACTGTGCAAATGGGAGGTGTCTGTAGCCCCCAAGGGGGCAGGCTATCTTGCTCACATAAATAAGGTACATGGTACCTGTGCCGGTAAACTCCACAAAACGTACTGCCATGGAGTTG